GTGTCCGACATGCCTGCCGAAACAAGCCGAAAGAAGACCAACGAGCTATGATGAAACCCTCGACTACCCACACTCGATGGGTCCCAGGCCGGGCAGCGCCACAGGAGCGCCCCTAGAGGAGTCACTCTCTCTTTTTTATTTTTCGGAAATGTTAATGCCCACACGTGTGGGTGTTAGCCATCTCAACCACACGCCTCCATCGCCGTCCAGCAGTATCTGCACGAATCTTGGCACGTTTTGGCCGATTTTGTGTGCCATGTAGGACAAGGCGCGTGTGTGATGTGTGACATAGTTTGCCCACACGTCGGCCCCCCCCCCGCGGTCAGCGGTTGCCACTCGGGGGCGTGCGGTGGAACTGCTCTGCGCCCGCACGCCACGCGCCGATGGTGGTTGACGTCAAACACGTCGCGCACTTCGCCCCCCTCCCCTCACGGTTCCATTTACTCCTCCCTTCAGTTACTCGCCCACCCTGCAGTTCAGTCGATTGGATGAGAAGATGAGAGGAGAAGGCGACGACGGAGGCGGAAGAGTCGACGGGATTCGCGGCCGTAGGTGGTGCTCGCCAGACCGGAGCGTCTTCGCCGGAGCACCTACAGATTGAAGGTAATGCTCCCTCCCACGCTCAAAATCCTTGCCTGCATTTCTCCCCTGCCCTCCGTGTTCGATGCTTCGATCGAGATTCAGGCGGGTTCGCGATGCGCCGGCGTTCGCATCGGCGGCGAAGTCCTGTGCTTGCCATTTTCGGTGGCATTGGGCAGTTTCGTCGCCGCCGCGGTGGCGGTCACGCCCGTGTGGTTCGGCCTATCTGGAGCCACATCCTGGTTGTGCCTTGGGATTGGGCCGTCGTTTTTCTGTCTGATAGTTGCGCATTGCTTCGAATTGTTATATGCGATCAGTGCGAGGAGAATTTTGGTGATGAATTTCAAGTCATGATAGTTGCCATTGAACCCTAGATCTAGGTAGTTGTTTTCCAAAGTGTATAGTATGAATGCAAACATGATAGTATGAGTAACTATCTGCACCGTATGGCAACTAATTTCCTGATTGAACGTGGTAGTTGTCACAAATATGTTTTTCATGTGGCAACTAATTTCGTGCACATGCTATGGTTGTTGCCACGCTATAGGCATGGTAAAGTGTAGTAAATAGGTAGTCATTGCAGTTTCAGCAACCATGTGTACTGGATGGCAACTAATTTCCACATCAACTGTGTTAGTTGCCACATATATGCTTTTCATGTAGCAAGTA